GAGGAGAAAAAAATACTAGTTAACTGAATGTTAAGCTTGTAGTTTCAGTGAGAGTAAGGTCCTGGTTAAGATACTATGTGGTGATGTAGTTAAAGGTTATTTTCTAGTGCATGTATGTAAGCAGGTTCATTATGATTGCATGTGAAACACTGATAGTGTTCAACTTCAGAGTGTTTTACAGAGTAGGAAGAATTATTGTAGTGTTTTCAATGTGTAGCTTCTTGGATTTAAATTGATTATAGGTTGCTTTTTAGCATCAATTTTATTGATACTGTAATCTTCTCAGGGATGGAATTACCTTTACTTTGCTTTTTTCTTTCAGTCAGAAATAGAACTGCTGGCACAAGTATCCTTAATTATACTGGATAGTCAATAAAGCAATTATGGTGTGTTGTTTGCTGATGGCTTTTCTTTGTGACATATGAATCGGCTTCAACTTAAGATCTTCAATCAATACTGGCTCCATCAATGCTCTCTTAATTCAGATTTCTCCCTTGTCATGGCTTACACCTGATGTTTACCTTTCTTGGCTGTTCATTCCAGGGTCTAGCTAGCTCCATCTTGTCCAGGTGTGGTGGTCTCTCTTTCTGGATCTCCTACCCTCATATATGTTCTCTACCATTAACAGTGGATGAATTGAGAGTACTGGGGAAAAATGCTCTGGTTTTGGTTCTAGCTGGATTTATAACATTAAAAAGAGGTAGTTAAAGTGTGGAGCACACTCTGTAGCAAGATGTATTGAGGGGACTTTGTCTGTGTACTTGTTGAACTAATACATGTGGAAAGGTTTCAATAGCCTGTTGCTTGTCTGCATTTGGGTGGATTTGCACAAGAACAATAGTGAGAGGTACAAACTGATACTAAGGCTAATTAAAGTAAATTTCAGTTACTGATTTGCATATATAAGGCCCTACTTTAAATGTTTTTAAAGTTAAGAACATAGAATATTTCCTCCTAACCTTGGTTTGGAAATGTTTGAGTTTTCCTTCTGAAGCTGAAATATACTAAGTAATTGTATGAGACCATAAACTTATTTAAAGCAAAAATTTTAGCAGCTGGAAACAGGAACTTATGGTAGCAAGTAATGGGCAACTTAGGGATTCCAGCTTTGTCAATACAGTGTCTAAACTTGCTGCAGGCAATTTCTACTGATATTTTAAAATACTCTTAAATAAAATCTGTTTTACAGTAAGAGCTTAATTGCATACCATTAAACTAATACTGTTTTCAGTCTTAATATGTAGGACTGTAATGCTTAAAGATTGGAATTTCAGGTATATATTAGGTTTAATTATAATTTTAACTACAGCTTTTTGTTTCTTTTTAGGATTGGTGTCTTATTACTTGCCAGTAGTTTAGTGGGAGAAGATAATTGTCTGTTTTCTGTTACAGGCAAACAGAAAAATGTAGACTGTAGATTGCTCCAATGTGAGATTATTAAGGATTTTTGCTTACAATAACATGACTGTATCAAAACTGTAATCTTGGCAGTGTTTCTCTAGACATACTTGAAATTGGTTACACCCATCCTTTGGCTACACAATGCAGGGCTTTAGTTCTTAGGACTGAATTATATTTACAGGGATGATGCAGCCACTTTCCCTGTTGCTGCATCGTATGTTTCTAATGATTTATTACCCATGTGTTCATTCTTACACACTGGTTACTGCCTTTTGAAATTCATAGTCCTTCATCACAGAATGTTGTTTCTTCTGCAGGCATGAGTGTTTTGTAGTTGCAGTAGATGTCTCAGCAAATGACTTCTGGGTTTCTAGAATGAAGTATTGCTTTGAGTGATCAAGTCTTAAAGATGAAATGTTTACTATCTTGTTTACAGAGTACAACACGGTACTGCCATATTAGGAAAGACTTAATAAAACACTTCAGTAAAGCATTTAAAACTAATTTTTCTATGGTCAAAATAATATTTTGGTAAATACTTTGTCTAAAACGCGTAGTCGATACTGGAGTAAGACAGGTCTACCTTGGGCCAGTATCTTCAGCATTAAAGGCTGGGTAAGGAAGAGAGGTTATTAAGTAGGACTATAGCAAATGAAACCTCACTAGAGGATGCTCCCTGCCTCTCGAAATGCACAGTGAATGCAGTTCCTGAGCAATGAGTGGAGTCATTGCATTTAACAGGCATGATTTTTTTTTCTTCTATGAATGCTTATTACTTTGTGAACCCAACGTAACCTTTTAGTATCTATAACATTTAATTGCAAGAATTATCATGACCTAAATTTACACTGTATAAAGAGTAACTTCTGATAGTTTTGTATCTGTCATACTTAATTTGGCATCTTCTAGACAGTGAATAATCTTTCATACTTGTATTGTTCAGAGTACTACAGCCAGAGGTCTGAGTGCAGCACAGTATTCAAAATACTGTTAGCTTTAATGAAGTTTTCAGGGTGCTATGCAATTGTCCATATACCTCCTATATAAATAAGTTTGCAGTTTTATATCAAATTTTTATGAAATTTTTGTTTTTTTGCTCTGGTATTATGTAACTGTTATTACTGTATCTTTTTTCTCAGCCAGTTTTGCTATGCAGAATTTCAGCTTAGCTTTGCTCAAAGGCATTTGTTTATGTTGAAGAACCCTTTAAAATAAAATATGTATCTAGGTTGATGATTCGTCGCAGTTGAGACAGCACTGTTTGGAAAGAACAATATTATTAAGTTTGATAGAAACGGTGATTTGCTTTTAACTACAAATGTGCTGCCAAGCTGTGTGGCAATGATTGCTTGGTATAATACATTTTTTAAAAAATGCTTCAGATAGCTTAATTTAATCTGTTTGTTGTCAGGCTTCATCATTTGTGGGAGGCGCGGGGGGTTGGGTTTTGGTTGAGGGTTTTTTTACCCCTACCTCTAGTTGTTGACCTGCTTGTCTATTTTATAAATAAAAAACAGTTTTTCTCCTTTATTGACAGTCTGCCTGTGTAAACTGAAACAGTCTTGGACTAAGAACTTTTTCTAATAATTTATATTCCTTTGATGGTTTTCAGATGAATTTCCAATTAGAGCAGGAAGGCCAAGTGGTGTAAATGTTGCCATGATAAGCAGATGGGAGATTTAAAAGGCAGTAAAATATAAACAGATTGAGGAGCTTTGATATTAGACAGTATGTTTACTGTCAAACACCCATTTAATTTGCTTGTTAGAAGCTGGAACCTAGGCTGGCCATTTTTCGTATTCATATTTCTTTTTCCTTTCTGGAAAGGAATGGAAATATGGCATTTGATTGACCTAGTTTATCTTCTAGTTTTAAACTAAGTTAAATTAAACATACAAATGTTAATTTCCTTCAAAGGTGCTGAATACTCTTCAAATTATAGAACCACTTATTTTGTAACTTAGATGTCTTTAAATTTGATTTCATCGAGTTATTATTGTAGATGTTATTTGTAATCATTTTCTATTAATAAAGTATAATAGAGATGCTATATCACTTCTGTTGAATTGGAGAACATTAAGTGGAACGTAAGTTTCATGCTCTGATACAGATGTAGAAACATAATCCTATCATAGGTATCACTGTGTAAGAGAATACTTTGTTGCAATACGTATTTATGTTTTCATGACATAAATCTTTAGTACATTAGATCTTTTTAATGTCTTCCATTTCAATTGCATTAATTTTTTTAAACTGGCCTGACAGCTCTGCTGGTTCATTTTAGCACCTGCCATGGTGTGCTTTTGATTTACTGTTTGTAAATGTCTGTTTTGTCATTTTCAGATGCAGTTTTGGCTTACCTCAGTCCTCTTTACGAGTTTTCATAATTTGTGATATCTCTCCTTGTTTGTAGTTTGTCTAATGGGGCAATACAGGTACTGTTGTCTTGCTCAGTGCTTTGAAAGCACATTAGTCTTTATGTTGAGAACCTTGCTGTGCTCTTACTTTGCAGATTATGCTCAAGTCCACTACAGGCTAATGTCTGTTTTCAGTACATTTGCTACCCTTGCATAATTTCACTAAGTGACATACTAACAAAAGAGAAATGTGAGCTATTTGGTTCTGAGAGGAATGCAGACTAGTTGCTTTTTATTTCTTTAGCTTCTCTTTTAGTGAATACAGAATGGCAATGAATGAAATTATTGCTTTGGCTTGCTTTTTCTTCAAGAGAGATTTGGAATACTTAAATACTTAAAGTCTTTTCCAAGTATCATTCATTGTATTGCTCTGGAGAATGCTTTTAATCATATTTTTTGTCCGGTTGCAAGTAGGCCATATTATGTGAAGATGTTTTCCATAAAAGATTTTATTGAATTTTCAGGTTTTGTTTTTCTTTGTGTTTTATGACTTTTTGTTACGGGGTTTTGGGCTTTTTTTTTTTTTTTTTTTTTGCATGTAACTATGTAGTATTGTTTATTGAAAAATTAAAGTTCTGTAAGAATATTGCTTTCAGTTTTATTACTTCTAAATTATTCATTTTGTTCTGCTTCTTTACAATTCTACGTATACGCTATTAATTTTTCAAGATACAAGTTTTATTGAGAAAACGTAAGGTTAAAGAAGCAAAACTTTAATGTTTCTCTTGGTGCTGTACAGAGGCTTAAAACCATTTTAGAGGTTTCTTTTTCACGGGAAAACGTAATGACACGCATGCAAGTTACTTGCTGTACTTTGTGAATGTTTGCCCTGTGGTTTCTTGGTTGTGATAGTGAAGCATTAATGTAGCAATTACCTTGATAATGAGTGGTCAGATGTTAAAAGCTTTCTGACAACTTGACATATGACTTTGGCATTAAGTAGCTGCTTGTTCATTTTCAAGAAGCTTACCACCAATTAGGTTTGCCTAGTTGCATGAAGCAGAGCCTCAGACTATGTAAATTTGGAGCCTGTCACTTCCTGTGATTGCTGGATTCAGGACATGCTATTGAGAATGCCGTATTTTCGGAGGCTTTTTGTATTCTGTTCACAGTGTTTGCTAAGCAGGAACTGTAGCTAAAAATAACTAAAATGAATCTCTCTGTCTCTTTTTCTCGCTGCAGGATGACGTAGCTTTGCCTAGGATTTATCAGCTAAGCAGAAAATGAGCTTAACATCCTGGTTTTTGGTGAGCAGTGGAGGCACCCGCCACAGGCTGCCACGAGAAATGATTTTTGTTGGAAGAGATGACTGTGAGCTGATGTTACAGGTAATTGCATCAGCCTTCCTTGTGCAACTGCTCAAATTGTGAACTTAATGCACTGGTTTTATATTCCTTTTGAAAATTAAATTCCCCAGATGTTGAGGGAGCAATCACATTAATCTTTTGTGTTCACAGAAAAAAGTTAAATACATTGCTATCAATCATACACTTGCTGTCAAAGTATAGAGGATCAGATTTTCTTCATATAAAACACGTACCAAATGCAAGAATAGAAGATGAAATGAATTTTGCAATATGATCAGTAAAGTAGGCTGTGGGCTCCCTAAAATGTGATAATGCTAAGTGCGCTGGATGCTTTTGAAAAGAGCTTTCTTTTTTCCTGCAACTTGTAATCTAATTTGGTCACATGACTTTATCCCCAAGTCATGGTCTTATTGTACAAAGGCAAATGAAATTAGTAGAGTACTTCTCTGTCTCTAAGGAAGTTGAGTGACTCAGTCTCAGTAATGGTTTCAGTTGAACTGTAAAAATACAAGTCTTAGTCGAAATAGTTTGATACTTTAGTAGCTTTCTCAATGTTGAAGATCACTGTGTGGAACTCTTTAGAGATGTGTAACTGTATTATTACGTAGATGTGTTGCATTCACTTTGCCCACTCAAAGCTGTAGTCCTCCAAGCTGCTTCTTTATGGTATATGCATTTTTTAATGGTTAACAGTAATATTTTGGGAGTTTCTTCTTGAATTACTGTCTTTGCTGTAGAGCTCTTTATTAGTTCTGAAGTTTAATCTTTTTTTCCTCAACTGTTCCTACCATTCAATAGAATATTTTCGTTTGGAAATTTTGTTCCAAAGAGTTGTGAGAGCAGCCATTAATGGCCAAAATAGAATCTCACTTGCAAATGAAGTACATAAAAACCTATCTTTATGTGTATTACTCAGAATGTAGTATCTCTAAGTAAACTGTATTTGATTCTCAACCTCAGAAGACATCCAAAGACTTTATGGGTGATATACTTTGTCCTGTTAGAAAGTAATTGATAGTACTCTTAATTTCTCTTTAAAGACAGTCATTATGATGTCTTGGTGATTTGTGTGAGAAGTATTAAAAAAATCCCAACCAATGCAACAAACACACACATACACACAAAACCCACAAACCCCCCCAGCCCCATTGATTCCTGCCCAAAAGATTCTAAGCAAAAAATGAAAATGCTTTTATTTTACCAATAGCTTGTTGTAATGAGTGGATGTCTCTGGATAAGGAAGCCTTTTCTTCCTTCAGTCTCCCCTGTGCCCTCTCCAGTCCTCAGAGTGAAGCTGAATAGTCAAGCATTTATTACACTGTGTCATTATCACCTTCAAAAGTAACTGCCTCTTTGATTAATATTGTGGATAGATTCTAGTCATTTACAAATGTCATTTGTTATGTATTGACCTTACAGTTAGTAAAAAGAATTAAGGGAGCTGGGTTTTTTCAAGAATATTCTCTTTAGCCTGCTGTTAGGTCTACATGCCAGCATGGCTGTAACACAACATACTGTTTCAGGGGGAGGAGCCCACCAAAGAGAATCTAATAATGTGTTCTTGTTCTGTATGTATGCCTCTTTGTGTAGGACCTTCCTTTCCACTCTTGACAACTTGGTTGTTCCCATACCGCAAAGCATGTGGGCAATGCATGATAAAGAAAGCAGATTTTAATGCTTTTATTCATAATCTCCTGACAGAAAACATGTTATAAAAGCCTTATTAAAAATTACAGCTATGTTGCATGCTTGATAGTATTAGACCTCAGATCTGTCTCTAGCACTACTCTTTGAAGAAGTTTTATATGTGTCTGGGAATACAGGTTCATTTTGAATGTATTATTTTGTAAATATGCTCAAACATAGCCTTTGTATTTAGCTAGCTGCTCCAGTGCACCACCCTGCTTGTGGATAAATATCACATTTTCCCCTTCTTTCAGCATTGTGTTTAGAAAACTATTTGAATCTTGATGGGGAAATAATTTCCAAGGTAAAATAATCTACACCATTCATATCAAAATTATTCCCAAATAATACTATTTTCTGTACTCTTGCGTATTTTCTCAATAATCTGGATTGAAGAGTCTTTGTCTATTATTAATGCCAATTTATTTTAACTGGGGATGCTGTTTTCTCCTTTAAAGTCATACAGCTAGTTAGCACAATTACTCTGTGATTTTTATTATTTCTGCAGTCAGATATATAAGTGTTTTTACTGGAACTGGCTGGGTTCCAGTGAATATTCTTTTTAGAGGCTGTTATGGAACAGTGTTTCAGATTTGTAATTGAAACACACCAGTGTGACCTGCACACCAGTATTTTAGTTACTGCTGAGCAGCGTACAGTTTCAAGGCATTCTCTCTTGCTCTGCGCTTTCTACACACACGTGGCTATGGGGGTGCAGAAGAAGTTGAGAGGGAGTGCAATCAGGACAGCTGACCCAGACTGACCAATGACATAGTCCATGCCATATTAATGACATGCTCAGCAATAAAAACTGAGGGAGGTGGCTTTGAGGAAGGTAACCACTGCTCAGTGTCTGGCTGGGCATTCTCCTGCTTGTGGGAAGTGATGAGTGATTGCCTTTGTGTCACTTGATTTCTCTTATTTCTTCTTTCTTCTTCCCCTTTCCTTCAGTGCTTAACTTGTATTTCACTTGTCCCATGAGTTTTCTTGCTTTTGCTCTTCCTGTTCTATCCCCCATCTCACTGGGGTAAGGGCAAGTGTGTGAAAAGCTGTGTGCTGATCAGCTGCTAGCCAGGGAACCACAATCTTACAAAAACTAATTCAGTCCTCAAATTCGAACAGAAGGCTGGAATAATAAAACAAAAGAAAAAATAGCATCTGTAAAGATCGTCTGCAATGAATAAAAAATGTGTCCAATTATATGCCAGTAATCTGAGACTGAGGAGAACCTTAATGTTCTGCAGAATGTCAAGTTTCTCTAATAGCCACAGACTTGAATACTCATGCTTACCATTTCAGAAGATGTGAGAAAATACCATGAAACACTAAGAATCTGTCTGTGTGCTTTTTATTTTAGCTTATTTTTGAAGGCTGAAGCACACATATAGAGATAACACAATAATTGATTGCTAAGAAAGTGTATTTGAATAATTGAAAGTTCAGAAAATGTTTCTAGGTAAAAAAATGTAATTCTTGTGCTTGCTTTGCTGCATCACGTGAGTGTAGAAAAGTGTTCTCTCGGCTTGACACTCTAGGTTCATCAGAACACCCACATCAGTGAATTTGATTTTATTGAGAAAGCTTGTTTCTGCCTGAGGTTACTAAGTTAGTATAAAATGAACCATACTGGTGTATCTCTATTTATCATTAAGAACACTCAACTAATGTACTATACTAGTGCAGCTTTTATTGGCAGGGACCTAGTCATTCATTTGTCAATCTCTTCCTTAATTCTACCTACCTACTCCCCTTATATCCAGCCCCCCCTTTTTTTGCCGCACAGGACTGCAGAGCAAATTGACTCAAATGAAAAGTCTAAAAATAAAATAGTATAACCAGGAGAGGACTGATTTCACTTCTTTAAGGAGAAAGTGAAGTAGTCAAAAGATGGCATGGAAAGGAAGTATAAGAAAGTAAACTGAAAAGGAAGGAAAATACAGTAGCAAGTCATGAGGAGGAAGGAGATGATAAATGTGGGATTCTGAGAAGAGAAAGCATTTCCTTATGAGTTATGATTGCATATTCTGATGTCTTGAATAGGCTAATGTACTGTGGTAACCTGAGACTCCTATAATAAACAGACTGCAGTTGCTGGTTCAGAAGCAACCACTGAAGACTCAGTTGGATATTTGCCATTGGCAGTGCTATATAGTCCTGAACAATGCATTTGAGCAGCAGGGATAGGAGATGCAAACTGAAACTGAAAAGAATGCTGTGAGAAGAAATTTGCTGCTGTGCAATCATGTCAGGAGACAGCACTACCAAGATTACCAGCAAACAGACTTGAGATGAAGTGTGGACAGCTATGGAAGAGGAGCTCTGGGCTCCATCCAGTCAGGAGGTCTTCTAGGTGTCAAGGTGCTGACCACATGCATGCATGAAGAAAGCATACATCCAGCCGCACCTCTTTCTTGCTTGGAGTCAGCACCTCAGGCTGCAAGTACTTGGCCATGGGCAAGTTTTAAAAGAGGGACTTAGCTGTTAGGGAGGTGACGTTCTTGGAAGAAATAATAACAAGATTATTCCTGATATATGGGTTGATATTTGGATGCAAAATAAATAAAATATAAAGGTTAAGTGCAGAATTCTTAAGGAATAACTGAGAATGAGGGTCAGAACTCATGGGGAATAGTTGGAATATTCCCCATGAATTACTATTCGTGGGGATTACTATTCCCACGGGAAGAGTAATTCAGGAACTGCTCAGACGTTTAGTGAAGAGGCTATACCTAATTTGTTTACAAAATTGAGATCAAGGAGAAACAATTTAAATGCTTGCATACTCTGTTAAGTATCCCAGATACATGACAGGAAATTATGTGTTTCAGGAAAAATAGCAATGCCACAGAATTGTATTTATGTTTTGAAAGATGCATGCAGTTGAGGACTGAGAGAGAAATAAAGATGGAGCTGATGATGTTAGATTAAACATCGGTGAAGCCGATGTTTTCAGGTGAACTGAAAAAAACCCATATTTGGATAAGTTATGTCTGGATCTGACTTACAATCACATTTTGGTAAACATTAAGGAAATAATTCTTCTGAATTAATTATAGGATTCTCTTTTGGTACCCCGGGGCAGAGTTTGGTGTAGTTAGAGATTTATATTTTTTTTCTATGTGGGATTTAGTAATGCAATTTGAATAAATGTGCTATGTAGAAATAAAATATTCACACTACTTTAAGAAATAGGCATTAATGCAATCTTGATCTGTTTTTTAAATACCCTATTTTATATGATTCTTTTAAATGCATTTTAGTCACGAAGTGTGGACAAGCAACATGCTGTGCTTAACTATGATGCCTCTACAGATGAACACTTAGTGAAGGATTTGGGCAGCTTGAATGGGGTAAGTTAACATCAGAAATGGATAACTCCTCGTAGTCTTCTGTATTTTTCTTTATTTTGGGTTCTTTTTTTTTTTTTTGAGTGAAGAGAATATGACTTAAGTGTGCTTTAATGTCTTTATAATGCAAGATTGGAAATGGGGGAACATTCAGAAGGGAAGCGTAGTTTTTGAAGGGGCTTTCCACTCCACGATATTTAAAGGGCTGTGGTAAATTCCATTAATAAGAGGGTCCTGACAGTAAAAAAAAAAAAAATCAAAATAATCAAAAGGAATATGCTACTCTTCTGTATTTCAGATATGCAAGGGGGAAATAATTGTGATTATATTTTACAAAAGAAAAAAAACCGATTTCTTGTTCATATACTGGTCTGCATCAAAAAGACTCTGGCCAGCAGGTCGAAGGAAGTGATTCTGCCCCTCTACTCTGCTGTCTGTTGTCCTTGACATAAGAAGGATGTGGAACTGTTGGAACAAGTCCAGAGGAGGGTGACGAGGAAAGGGGGGCTGGAACACCTCCTGTATGAATATGAGCTGAGAAAGTTTGGGCTCTTCAGCCTGAAGAAGAGGAGGCTGCTTGGAGACCTCATAGCAGCCTTCCAGTATCTGAAGGGGGCATATAGGGATGCTGGGAAGGGACTCTTCATCAGGGACTGTAGTGATAGGACAAGGGGTAATGGGCTCAAACTTAAACAGGGGAAGTTCAGGTTAGATCTAAGGAAGAAGTTCTTTACTGTGAGGGTAGTGAGACACTGGAACAGGTTGCCCAAAGAAATGGTAAATATTTCATCCCTGGCAGTGTTCAGGGCCAGGCTAGATGGGATCTTGGGTGACATGGTTTAATGTGAAGCGTCCCTGCCCATGGCAGGGGGTTGGAACTAGATGATCTTAAGGTCCTTTCCAACCCAAACCATTCTATGATTGTATGGTTAAGGAATTGATTTTTTTATTCCATATGCTTATTCATGTTTCATATTTCATTTCATATTTACTTGAAATAAATTTCATTTATTTCAAATCCAATAAATGGATTTATTTCATATGCTATTACTTTTTTCTCCCTTAAAAAAATTAAAAATACAGGCAAGAATGTTAAAGTATTTCATATGTGAAAAAAATTGAATGGCAATAGCCATGTTGTATGTAAATGTAAATCTGTTTAATTCTGTCTTTGCATTTAGTTTTTCAGTATCCTTTATATCAAATGTGTGAGTAATGCTTAAGTGTCAAGTCATTGCGAACTAATACAGGAAAAATTCAAAGTTGTGAGCAAAATAAGGTTTCATATCACATTTTACATTTTAAGGCTTTCCTATGAACTGCATATACAATAGTCTAGGTAAGCTTCACCTTTTATAAATGTTTTTAGTATTATAATAGATTATTAAAAACTGAGTAACTTTGTCATACTTTTATAGCCCTACTTGCACAAGATTATTTTTTTTTTTTTATGCACAGGAGTTGTGGTTGTTATTTTACCTTTAAATGTTTACCTGTGTGAATGCATGCAAAATAATGAGTTCATCTGTGATCGTTTATTCGAATCAATATTTGGAATGGTACTGGTAGTGAATAGCATTGTCAGATGTTTTAAAAAATAGAAGATTAAGGAGAAATCTCAAAATGTTGCCTTTTAGCACTGATTTAGGTTTTGGTGTTTGATCTTGAAGTGAGTTTCAAAGGAAAAACTCGTTAGTCTGCTTTTTACTAGCTTTTCTATATTAACTCAGCCTTCCAAAGATTCAATCTCAATTTCATATGAAACCAGTGTAACCCAAAGGGTTATATCCTTTGAACAGTTGTAGACATATAAGAACATTGCTCCTTAAATATTTAATATAACTCTATTTTGAAAGTCGGTGCATTGTTTTGAGGCAGTGATCAAAAACTAATTCAGTGCATAGTAGTTTTTTGCTGAGCTGTTTGATTTTATTCCCTATTTCTGTTACTCCTGTAACATAGTAGGTATGCCTTCAGATTTTCATTGCTTTGTCACAGATCTTGAATTTAATAAAAATACATTAAAAGTCCTTCATCCAACTCTGCCTCTGATAAAGAGCTTTCAGATATTTGCTTCTCTTGATCCGATTAATTCTCAAGTTTGAGGTGTCAGTTGCTCTATAGCTGTTTACCCAGAGACATCAAAGGAACTCTTTCTTCCCACAGCTTTGGGTCAGGGAATATTAAGTCTTAGAAGTTCAGTCCTTGCTTTTATCTTCACAGTACTTCCCTTACTGTCTCTTTTCAGCTGTGCTTTTCTCACTTACTTCTGCCTACCTGGTTTTCAGGTTGAAAGAGGAATCAAATAATTTGGTAACACTGTACTTAATTATGTTGCAGAACAGTATATACAATACTAGGCAACAATTCTTTCAGTCTAGCCACTGTTTCCATTGAGAGCACCACCTCCCTAGCAGCCAAGTTCCTCTTTCAGTGCTTCATCAGCTTCTACCCGTTCTTTATTTGCATGCTTCATTATATATCATAGAATGGTTTGGGTTGGAAGATCCTTAAAGATCATCTGATTCCAACCTCCCTGCCATGGTCAGGGGCACCTTCCACTAGATCAGGTTGCTCAAGGCCCAAACCAGCCTGGCCTTTCTGCGGAGAACAAATACATACTTTTCTTAGTGTACAGGACTGCTCCATTCCTTGTGTAATGCACTTTAACCACTCAAGATAACTCAGAGTTTAAGGGGAGAGGGCTCCTACCAGTACATAGGACGTTTTGAGTCCTAAATAATTTCATGAGATTTACGGTAGCTGCACCTGATACCCTAATGCCTGAATATTCATATCTGTATGTCTGATTCACACGGTTCACTGAAAATGTTACAGCAGTCTTCATCATAGAATCATAGAATAGTCAGGGTTGGAAAGGACCCCAAGATCATTCAGTTCCAACCCCCCTGCCATGGGCAGGGACACCTCACTCTAAACCATATTACCCAAGGCCTCATCCAACCTGGCCTTGAACACTGCCAGGGATGAAGCATTCACAGCCTCCCTGGACAACCTATTCCAGTGCCTCACCACCCTAACAGGAAAGAATTTCCTCCTTATATCCAATCTAAACTTCCCCTGGTTAAGTTTGAACCCATTGCCCCTTGTCCTATCAGTACAGTCCCTAATGAAGAGTCCATCCCCAGCATCCCTATATGCCTCCTTCAGATACTGGAAGGCTGCTATGAGGTCTCCACGCAGCCTTCTCTTCTCTAGGCTGAACAGCCCCAACTTTCTCATCCTGTCTTCATATGGGAGGTGCTCCAGTCCCCTGATCATTCATCCTGGCCTTGGATTTGAAAATAAAGCAAGATGCTGGGCAGAAGTTTTTTTGCCAGATTACACTGTAGAAAGATTCTTCAAAGATTTGTAAGTCTGGAAGTGTCTTAAATATTATGTATTTACATTTACTGTCTTTTTCTTTTTTTTCCTTTTAGACTTAGTTCTAGTTTTTGTAATCAAGAGCTTAGTATTCTATTCTGCCAGACAGAACATGTCTTCACCCTTTTCTATTTCTCTATCACTGAGTGAATTCAGAAGACATACAATAGAGAGTTTTCTGTGAAAGTAACAAATTCAATTTACAAAACAATTCAGTTTCACGGAAATGCAGCCTAATTTGGAGAGTTCTAAGAGCAGTGGTATGACTCAGGATGAGCAGAAGGGTCAGTTTGAGAGCTGTCATTAGGAGGTGACAGATTCTGGGAGAAGTCTCTACTGGAGGTTTAAGCATCCCGTCTAAGATCAAAAGGGCAAGTTGTGAGAGGAACACTTTCAGTTCCTGACATCCACTCCTACCACAGCATGTTATTATCATCCTTGGTTTCTGGTATCTGAAGTCAACTTCAGGCAACTTCAAGTCTTGGTGATGTTAGTAACCTGGGCAGTTTGCTTGATGCTAACAGCCTACCTTCCTAAGACTATAAATTGGTTTTAAAAGCTGCAGATCTGTTACAGTGAAGGAATATGCTTCACACACACAACACACATTTTTTCCTTACAAGGGCTTGTGTCTGTTTTTGAATTTTTTTTGTAGGTGACTTTCTAGAGTTTTCTTTAGAGCTTGAATAATCTAACTGCAAGCCCTATTTATGTTCATCTGATCCCCACCCCCCCCAGGTGCAACTGTTTTCCAACTCTTCCAAACTACATCTGTGAAATATATTTTGACCTGAATGTGTATTAGTCTTTCTCCTTCCTGATTCTTTAGTTAGTCATTCTGTGTATCTCCACTGTTCTCTTTAAATTTATGCCAGCATGAGTTTTGCAAATTCCTTGTTACTTTTCACTGTTAGGTTTAATCCCGATCTTGAAAAAGGAGCGATTGGTAATCTGCCTCTAACAGCCAACTGCTATGGCTGGTAAAACTGGGCAAACTTTCAGATACATAAATCCTTCTCCAAATCACCAAAAGCTTGTCTGATTTTTGCAGCTATATTTCCAATAATAATTTCAAGGAGGAGATAATTACATATTGTACAGTAATTTTCAGGAGGTATTGGCAAACTGATAGAATTTGCTTTGCTTTGCTGATAGCTGGTATAATAATGTTTCTGCTTATAAATGTTGTTATACCTACTGTTTCAAGAGTCACAATATACTGAATTCTTTATCATTACTATTTGGAGTTACTTGGATGCACTAACTTGGTCTGTTTTTCCTTTAAGTTCTTTGTCAATGTTTAGAAATTACAAGCTACATCAGAAATCTCGTATCCATTGTTAAATGCTGTACAAATATGATGATAAATAATTCTGACAGTTAATTGGGATTAGAAAAGCAAACTGCAAGAAAAATAATGAGTAGAGTTGCTTATTTGAGAGAACATTAATCATCAATTCAGTAAATACTGTTAACAGAATTAAACTTTTAAGAAACTTTTCAAGGCCAGTGTGATGTCAGCAGCCTGGTTAGTGACTGGTGTTTGACCCTTCCACAACCTTTTGTGAAGCAGGTGGCAATTTGAGCTTATCATATAATTCCCCAGTGAATCACCAGTAGAAAATTTGTGGTACTGGAAACTGTCTTATAAAATTGTTTAATTGATTTGTCATTTTTATTATTTTGGAATTTAATAGTATCTCTTTCTGTCCTCATTTATTTCTGTAGACATTTGTGAATGATGTCAGGATTCCAGAGCAGACATACATCACTCTGAAGTTAGAAGATAAATTGAGATTTGGATATGATATCCTTGTCGTAAAAATGCACAACATCAGGACACACTTTTTTTGTTAAAAGTATGCCTGTGTCAAATCAAGAGTCTTTTTACTATTTGAAGTAACTTTGAAGTACATATTTCTCTTGTTATTACAAAAATGCCTGTATTAGCGAAAACGGTAGGGTCTAGATTCTGTACCTTCATCAGAACTATTGATAAAGTACACTTCATTGTCTCTCACCGCATGAAACCTCAAACTCAAATTCCAATTTAGAACCTGTTAATGTAATATTTGTGTTGCTAAGAAACATTATTTGAGGCAAATACATAAATATTTGTATCATGTATCATCTCATATACAATGAGATTGTATACAGGTGGAGAAGATTATGAGTAATTACTCAGCAAACTACCAAATGGAAAAAAGAAAACCCCAAACTTACAGCAATTAAGATAGCTACTCTATTTTCAAATAGTAAATAATTGTCCATTTGCTTTGATGAGTATGTTTGTACATGCTGATCCTAACAGTGAAATACTTTTAGAAGTAACATCACCATTCCAGTGATAGAATATACTCAGCACTGTTCCTTTCAGTAAAATCCTCTTGCAAATTGAGGAATCATTCCAGTATTTTCCTTAGCATTTCCTACATACAAATCTGTTTACTGTCGTCAGGGGAGAGATGAGAGTCCCTGAAGAAGCACTTAAGGTAACAATGTGCCGATCCAAAATGACGATCTGTAATTATGTAGTGATTGGTAACATAAGGGTTTTTTCTACTTTTTAAGAATTTTTTTATTGTTTTATTTTATTTGTTTGATGTCATGTAGCATGAAAAATTCACAAGCCAACTCCAGTTGTCCCAAAAATCTTCAGAAGCAGAAGGATCAAAGCAAACCAGCTCCAAAAGCTCAGAGTCCAAGGTAACAGACTCCACAGCTGAAGTGCACCATAAAACTCCAGAAGCACAGAAAGCTGAAGAGAAATCATTGGGTAAGGTTCTTTTTTGCTGCAGAAGCACAAAAACTTGGAAAATATCTTCATTTGCTTTGGTAGAATGCTTGTGAAATTCTGCAGATAGTAAAAACTCCACATATGTGAAATTTTAAATACTTTTAAGAGTAATTAATAACTTTTATAATTTACTTTTTGGCTTTTTTTTTACTGTAGCAACCACATGTTAAGAAAACTTGTATAGGGACATTTCATCAGCATTTATCAGTTTTTTGCGTTCCTCTTGCCCAAAATCACAAACACACCTCCCCACACGCTCCCTTGCTTTTTATGACAGGTGGAGGGTTCGTTTGTTTGTTTTATCGGTATTAGCATTCGTTGTTAGATGGGTCAGGTTAGAACCCAATTGTTCCATTGTGCTTTAAAAATTTGTAGAAATTGAAGCTTTCATCTTGTTTCTACATCACCTTTCATATTTACGTAATGTGTCATGGTGGCTCTACTGCGGGTGTCTTAGGCTTGCTAAAGTTTATTGTTCATCTGTAGTGTAAATTACTTTGTTACCTATTACTACATGAGATAACCACAAGAATGAGAAAGGAGTTGGGTATTCTTGATTCCTTAATGTGAAGCTGACTAGGACTGACTTCTTAGGTCAAGGCTGTATAGTTTTGTTTAAGTTTTGGCTGTTCTTCTGAAGACGCACTTCAAAGAGTTCTCTTCCCCATGTAAAGGATTCATACATAATTAAATAAATTATTTCTTTTGTTGGCTGATCTGGCATCCTTGTAAGGTACATAAAGCCTATCAATTGCTTCAAGGTTACTATTCAGTATGGCTTTTCAGGTCCTCTTAAGTTTTCATAAAGTAGAAGAATGGAGTTTTTTATCCTCATCTTCCCTTTCACTTTTCATTCTTCACAAAAGAATAGTCAAAATTAATGGTAGGGATATGTATTTGAGTGTAACTCTTGGAAGCTTTTGGGGGTTGATTCACTGTTGCTGTATATATGCATAGCTGTTTACTTAGCTTGCTAATTGAGTGCACAAGCATCAGCCATCAAATTTTTAAAAACAATTCATTATTGACTAAAGTGTAGTGTTATTTTTTAAAAAAGGTATCTTCAAATCATATTGAAACTTCTGACATGGCTATGAAATTAGATATCCACTTTGGAGTGGCAGTGAATAAAACATTGACTAAAAATGTTTAAATTCATTATAGGCAAAGTAACGGACAAGCTACTAAGCTGGATTTGAACAGCTCACATTATTTTATATGAAGAATGTCTCAAGTATTTTCAGATCAGCTGTATGGTGCTAGAGTAGCTAAATCTCAGTAGGTAAAGCATTCTCTGAGAGATAAAGACAAAGCTAATCTAGTCAATTTATCATCAACGTAGAAGTCTTAATTACATTGGTGTTTTGGTTTGTTGGGTTTTTTTTCTTATTTGATTTTTATGTTGTCTTATTTGATGTTTATAATTGTGTATGCAACCTATATAAGAAGTAGTATTTTTTTATTTGTACTGTAATTTAACTGCTGCTTTAAAAAAATAAAATAAAATGGTTGTTCTGCATGATGTTTTACACAAGGTAGCTTTTACCACTCTAGTAGCTGTCAGTGGTTTGGAACCTTGGCAACGTCACAAAATTTGATCAGGTTTTCATGCAGTGAGTTCAGATTTCATTGAAAGGTCAATGTGGGTAAAAATGAGAATCTTCTTACAGAAGTAGTGGACAGCTTTTAGGTGCGTACTGCTGGGTTGATAACTTCAAACTGAAATCAGAAAATAACGTTTACCGATATATCAGGGTAACAAAAGAGGTGTCAGCTGCCTTTGCATAAATGTTTGTGCCAAACGTTTTGATCAGGTCACTAGTAAGCTTTTATATTTAGAACCCAGATCAGTTAGCCAGCCTCCGAGTTGGTTTTGTATTTAGGCAAATGCATGCAGCAAATTCACTTCAGCTTCCATGAGAAACAATCTGAGCAAATGACTTTCTCTTCATGTTGTTTTAACCTAAATATCACAAGTAAGTGGCAAAGTAATTTCCTCTGCTTTGGGCTGATTTTATAGATCTTTCTGCCATGCCTCGTGGGACACCTTTGTATGGACAGCCAGCCTGGTGGGGTGATGATGAAGCTGATGAAAAAAGTGGTTGTAAGCAGGACAGCAAACAGGAAGAAAAACCGCAGGAGACAGGGCCTTCAGGTAAGTCTGTTGTCTTGTTTTTGTGGGCATTTTTTCCCTTTATTAAAGTGCATATGTTCTTAACTAGGGAACTAAACAAATATTAATGTTTAGAATTTTCATAAACAATTTGCATTGGATGCAGATGGAAGCCTGTTAAAATTAAGCTAAAGATATTTATTCTGTGTGAAACTGTGCATTTCCAAAGATCAATTTCACATACAATGTACGATTTTTCTGTATTGTATGTAGTATGTAATACAATTTGTTGTCAGTAATTTTAGAAAATAATGTTATCTGGGCTAGTGTCTTATTTATCAATTTAATTCATATTTGTAATTTTATGTGCTTAAGCGTAGAGATTACATAGGGTTATTTTACCAAAATAAATTCTGAAAATAAACAGTGCTATATTTATTTGACTTTTAGCTATAAACGGTGATCTGTGCTAACATTTTCTCCTGGAGTTTAATAATGGTGCATTAGTGGGAATTGCATTTCATAATTCTTGCAGTAAAGATTTACATAGTCTAAAGTTAAATTAGTGATGTTTATTTTCCTGTAATGTAGGTTAATTTTTTAGTTTGCTTGTCTATATAAAATATGTATTGCCAAAACTTAAATCTCAATGTCTATAATTAGGCTTCTAAATCTATCATCAGGCATATAAATAAAGAGACTGCTATTCTAATACGCAGAATAACCTTAAAACTTACACAAGTTAGGACAAAATTCAGTCGTGTTTATTTAGCTGTTTAGATGTGTGTTTAAGGCCAAATAGTTTTAAGTTTGCAGTTTTTTTAAAGTATTGTAAATCAGATGGGAATTTCTCTCTTCCTGTAATAGTAGTTGCCTTGGTTATCATGAATCCCGTTTGCAGGAATTTTAGCAAATGGTAAAAGCTGTAAAATCAAACTAACACTTCAATGCAATGAAGTCATTATCTTTGGAGTTAGCTTTTTATCATAACTTTAATGATGTTTTTTGTATGAGTTTGAAGTTGTAAGCACTCAGTAAAGTAAGTACCTTAATATTTGAGCTAGTAGAAAGAAAACAGGTGAAAACAAATTGATAGCTTTTGTGCAGTATGAAAGTTTTGTCGCATATAAGAGAACTGCATTATAGTGCAGTACAGTTATAGAACACTTTCATAATTGGTTGTTTTTTTGGCGAAAAACTTCTCTACCTGTTAGATGTTACTCCACTTTCATTTTACTCAAGAAAAACGGAAAGTGCATATGTCATCAAGATCTTGTTAGCCGCATGATTTTCCTAGCTTTAGAAATTACAGGATACATTAGCTGTTGGCTGTGAAACCTGTGACTCTGTATCCTGCTGTGTATGCCAGAACAGGGATAGTAATGTCTCTAATACCTGTTTCTATACTCACCTGCATTTATCTGTGCTGTTCTAATTTTAAAAACATGTATGTTATTTGCCTTCATTGAAAAATATCCCAAAGTCTGTGATTTTGATGCCATACCACTTACAAGGTATGACACAAGATTTCAGCTTCTATTTAGTAGCATACACATTCTTATGTTTTCATATTTACAAGTCGCTTTTTCAGAAGCAATATTGCAGATGGTTTGCATTCTTTTGTATTCATTTATCAAAAGATTTTTCAGCAAGTGACCACTGCTCCTTTCTTAGTTCCCAAGTCCATAGAAAAATAAGATTCCAGCTTCTTCTCAAACCAGTCAAGAAGATAAAATCTATTTCAGTAGTAGACAAAAATTGTTGTTCTTGACAGAACGACGGTAATGGGATTATTTTTTACATGCTTTGCATCAGTGAAGCCATCAAAGTAAATGATGAATGGGGAAAATAGACTAGTATTTTCTACCCTGTTTAACTGATTTTTTTGTTTTCCATATATATATATATATATATATACATCATATAAATAAAAACAATATTTGGGCCTGGAGGCTTCTTGGCAAATAAAACATGGGGGGTTTTTGTTTGTTTATTTTTTCCTGTGTACAACATAGGTTAGAAATCCCTTTTGTTTATGCTATTGTTTAATCATAAATTTATTTTGTACAAATAGAATTAATCTGAGTCTAGGAATAGCTTCTGTTTCCTCAAACTGGAAGACTAATAAATGTGCAAGAGTGGAAGCGCATCTATGTGAAATGTTATAAGAGGACACTGACGGGGTGTGGGGGGAAACAAAACCTAATATTTCTGCAAAACGGTTCAATTTAGAAGCATGTGGAACTAAAATCCCTTGTATAGACAAGTGGTTTATTTATCTTGATCGCTTAATCTCTGAGTAGACACTAGTTGTATGTTTTACTAGTCTGGGTTTTGACTGTTGTAGATGTTTTTAGTAGTGTTGGCAGAGAGCCTGAGAAGACAGACCACATAACAGTTGACATTTTCCTCTAAGGACACATTTCCTCAGTCTTAGAACAGTAACTATGTTTGTGTAGAAGTGTGTGGGGGGAAAAATATCCTGAATGTTCTCGGAGATTTATAAAATAAAGACAAAAGGTTTTGGGGCTATTTGATCTACAGTTTCATTCCATGAAAACATTAAGTTAATTTTCAACAAGTTAGTATGCATTTTCTTCATGCACTTAGGTTTTATAACACAGGTTAACATAATTATTAGAAGTCAATATAGCTTTAATGAAAGGAAATCAGAAATCTGAACTGGAAACAAGGCTGTCATGTTTGGATTTTTTTTTTTAATAAAAATGAAATTTAATAAAAAATACTAAGGATTGCTGCAGTTATTTGTTCTTTCATGGGCTAAATTATATGAAGCATTTAAAACACTGGTTTGGAACATATTTCCTAATATAAAATACCTAAAGTAAGTACAGTACAGGTGAAGTCATATATGTAAATTCTTAAACTTTTTGCTTAGTAACTCAGTCTCATAAAGCCTGATATCATTTTAACAAATGAATCCTATGAAGAATATGTTTAATGCTTTAATGATTTGGTACAGGATTATTCACTGAATATAAATGGAGGCATGAATTATAACAGATGGGGCAAGGTTTAATGAGGAGATTGAAATGCGAGATTTGTTTCTGCTAAGCCAACTACAGACAATTAGTCTTTACAGTCTCAAGTTAATAAGATTATTTCAACGTTACTGTCTGTCACAACAGAAACTCACTAATGGAAATTATTGGCAAACATCAGAAAAACCTGGAAAACTTGAAAAAGGAAAAAAACCACTTTGCTTTTTTCAGACGTATTTTGCTGTAATTGAATGATCCATAGACCTAGTAATCCATGTTAAAATAACAGTTGCATATGCACCTGTGGTGTGACTTTATGTTGCAACTATTAAACTTATGTTATTGGCAAGTTTACTGGGTGTGTGATTATTATTATTGCCATGTGTTGCACTCACTTCTGGAAAGCAAAAACTGCATTCTCTGCTAATCTCAGTAGTAGTTTAGAATTTTATATTATAAATGCTTTTACCAAAGATCTAAGAAAAGATAGAAGTCAGATTTTAAACAGGCTTTAAGAATCAAAAATATTTTTTCCATTTGGCATGAAGTATTAGTATCTTACAATTCCAGCCTTGTATAACACTGTATCAGATTAAATGTTTCTTACATTTAAGAAAACAGTGTCATTTTAAGGTAAAGCAGGCTGACAGTTCTTTTAAAAATACTAGTGTAATCGGTATGTGTAGATTATACACACGTTTAATCACTAATATCAAGATTAAAGTGCCAGAAATTTGTTGTAGAATTTTTCCAAATTTTTGTCTGGAATACATGCAAGTGCTGCATTACAGGTTCTGGAACTTTTTAGAACCATTACAGCAATGTATAGAAGAGTAGTCTATTTTGATTTATTAAAGTTTCAGATTTAATTTGCAAGAGCTTATGTTCTTTTCCATTCATCATACATGGACACAATACTAATTTGTTGAAAGAGAAATACGTATTATAGAATCATAGAATAGTTAGAGTTGGAAAGGACTTTAAGATCATCAAGTTCCAACCCCCTGCCATGGGCAGGGTCACCTCGCTCTGAACCGTATTACCCAAGGCCTCGTCCAACCTGGCCTTGAACACTGCCTGGGATGGAGCATTCACAACCTCCCTGGGCAACCTATTCCAGTGCCTCAGCACCTTCACAGGAAAGAATTTCCTCCTTGTATCCAATCTAAACTTCCCCTGTTTAAGTTTGAACCCATTACCCCTTGTCCTATCACTACAGTCCCTAATGAAGAGTCCATCCCCAGCATCCCTTATAGGCCCCCTTCAGATACTGGAAGGCTGTTAGGTCTCCATCCAGCCTTCTCTTCTCCAGGCTGAACAGTCCCAACTTTCTCAGCCGATCTTCATATGGGAGGTGCTCCAGTCCCCTGATCATCCTCGTGGCCCTCCTCTGGACTTGTTCCAACAGATCCACGTCCTTTTTATGTTGAGGACACCAGAACTGCACACAATACTCCAGGTGAGGTCTCACGAGAGCAAAGGGGCAGGATCACCTCCTTCAACCTGCTGGTCACGCTCCTTTTGATGCAACCCAGGATACGGTTGGCTTTCCGGGCTGCAAGTGCACCCTGAAGCCAGCTCATGTTCATTTTCTCATCGACCAGCACCCCCAAGTCCTTCTCCGCAGGGCTGCTCTGAATCTCTTCTCTGCCCAGCCTGTAGCTGTGTCTGGGATTGCTCCGACCCAGGTGTAGGACCTTGCACTTGGCATATCATTATAGTTGAAACAGTTTATTTCAAATGTTACATTTGGTGCAGGCAAATTTCACAGAAAAGGGGTTTTGTGAAGTTGTCCATCAGTGCTGACAAGCCAGCGTTACAGATCCCCTCATCCTAACACTACCATGTCTGATGCAGTCTGGATGCAGTCATAATTTTCAAATAATGGTGATGAAACAGTTAGTTAATATTTACTGAAAAACATTGTTTCTTGCGTGGCCAGTAGATTGCTCTTGCCTGGCCCAAAAGTAGAAATATTTCTCAAACATACTGTATCAGACAGTTATTTTTTGAAGGAACATTGAATATTATTATCTTGCTTAATTACTTGTTACAGGAATTGCATGAAACTATAGGCTTGAAGCTCTGAATTGTACCATAGGGGAAAAAAATAAGCTACGTATGAATTAGCTCCCTGATGGATTACTCTTTTGTTCAGTGCTTGTGTTGCATACTGTAAGGATTCTGGCTCTAGATTTGATCCTACTAGAGCTTGATCCATTCCAGCTTGTTAGCTCAGTGAAACAAAGGTAGAGTGATGGTAGTTTACCTAAAATCTAGTGACTGCAAACTGTGACTTTGTTTATCACTGTACATCTTCTGCCTAAACATCAAGGCTTTTTAAATGACTTTTGCATCAGTTGATTCATTCTATATTCTTAGTCTGATTTTGGGAAGTGGATTAAAAAGGCATTCCATTTCTCAGGGAAGGAGTAGTGAGATGCTGCTGTACTGCCTTAAAATTATCTAGCTGACAATGCAGGGAAAAGCATTACCTAGAGTATTCTTGGAATGCAACAGCACAATATAAAAACTCTGAATTTTGATCATCTTCCGTATTTGCAACACCTACTTTTCAATAAATAAAATAGCTGTTACCTGCATCAGAATTATATCCTGTTGGTATCCAAGCAGGGCAATAATAAAGAATGTGTATGATTTTCATTATCACTCCATAACAGTGTTTCCAGCTATGATGTTGTTGTTGAAATACTTGTATTTCTGTATCAAACTACCATCCTTTCTTATTTTTCAATTTTTAACCTTTTCCTAAATCTTCACAAGAAGCATGTGTTTGTGAAGAACAGCATAGGTGCATTATGCCATCCTGCATCCTTTACCTCTTAAACTCCTACCTCCATATAAGTTTCTTTTGCAACTGTATTGCCTAATAGTTTTGTACACAAATGTTAACCACTGCAGCTGCCCTAGTGTGGCTATTTTTAATGCCATAATCTATTAATTGCATTCTTAATCCCTTACTTGCCAACCTAAAATGCTTTCTTAAAAATTCTAATGTGGTCTATTACACATCATGTAAGAACTATTCAGAAATCTGTTGCTGGAATGTTACTTGCGATTGCTGCTAACGTCATAGAATCATAGAATAGTTAGGGTTGGAAAGGACCTTAAAATCGTCTAGTTCAAACCCCCCTGCCATGGGCAGGGACACCTCAGACTAAACCATGTCACCCAAGATCCCGTCCACCCTGCCCTTGAACACTGCCAAGGATGGAGCATTCACATCTTCTTTGGGCAACCTGTTCCAATGCCTCACCACCCTCACAGTGACGATCTCCTTCCATATCTACCCTAAACTTCCCCTGTTTAAGTTTGAAGCCATTACCCCTTGTTCTATCACTACAGTCCCATATGAATAGTTCCTCCCCAGTACCCTTATAAAGCCTCCTTAGGTACTGGAAGGCTGCTATGGGGCCTCTTCTCCAGGCTGAACAGCCCCAACTTTCTCAGCCTGTCTTTATACAGTCCCCTGATTATCCTCGTGGCCCTCCGCTGGACTTGCTCCAACAGTTGCATGTCCTTTTTATGTTGAGGACACCAGAACTGCACACAATACTCCAAGTGAGCTCTCACAAGAGCAGAGTAGAGGGGCAGGATCACCTCCTTTGACCTGCTGGTCACACTCCTCTTGATGCAGTCCAGGATACAGTTGGCTTTCTGGGTTACGAGCGCACACTGAAGCTGGCTCATGTTCAGTCTCTCATCGACTAGCACCCGTAAGTCCTTCTCCACAGGGCTGCTCTGAATCTCTTCTCTGCCCAGCCTGTAGCTGTGCCTGGGATTGCTCCGACCCAGGTGTAGGACCTTGCACTTGGCATGGTTAAACTTCATGAGGTTGGCATCAGCCCACCTCACAAGCGTGTCAAGGTCCCTCTGGATGGCATTCCTTCCCTCCAGCGTATCAACCGAACCACACAGCTTGGTGTCATTGGCAAACTTGCTGAGGGCGCACTCAATCCCACTGTCCATGTCAGCGACGAAGATGGTGAACAAGACCAGTCCCAACACCGATCCCTGAGGGACACCACTTGTTACTGGTCTCCAGCTGGACATTGAGCCATTGACCACAACTCTTTGTGTGTGCCCGTCCAGCCAGTTCTTTATCCACCGAGTGGTCCATTCAGCAAATTGATGTCTCTCCAATTTAGAGACAAGGATGTCGTGTGGGACAGTGTCGAATGCTTTACACAAGTCCAGGTAGATGACATCAACTGCTCTACCGCTGTCCATCAGTTCCATAGCCCCATCATAGAATGCCACCAAATTGGTCAGGCAGGATTTCCCCTTAGTGAAGCCATGCTGGCTGTCACCAAGCACCTTGTTGTTTTTCATGTGCCTTAGCATGCATTCCAGGAGAATCTGCTCCCAGATTTTGCCAGGCACAGAGGTGAGACTGACTGGTCTGTAGTTCAGACCTCAAACTTCTGTTGCTTATGGCACATCTCTACACCATATATTTTGGCTAGCTTACCAGTTTATGAAATGCAACCAGAAGGTTTGTGTTATTAAAGGCACAGTGGCAGCTTTGCTGCAACCACAAGAAGCTTTAAACTTGCTTCAAGCTGTAAAGTGGGACTTCCAATTACTACCCCGTGCTTTTTTCCACATTATTCCTCCTTTACCCAGTTACAGCATGGTTTGGTAACATTTTGCATGCTTTCAGCTATTGTTACTTTTTTCTGTTCATCTACAAATTACGGAAACAAGTAAAAATGAAGACGATAACATTAGGATTTATCTTGATTCTTTCATTTTTATCTTTTGTAGAAAGAAGTAAAAATAAAACAGATTACATTAGGATTTTATCTTGATTCTTTCATTTTTATCTTTTGTAGAAATGTGGAGTGCTTGAATTCCAAAACACTTTCCAAAGCATTTTTCCAGTGCTTATTAGTGATAAACTTTTCAAGCCAGAATTCATGTTTACCTTGTGTTGATGTGTGAATTGTCTTTCTAAAGAATTTTACCAAAGTTACACTAGCTATCCAATGCAGGAGATGGAAGCCAGATTATTAGCGCTTGTTTGGGGTGCACCTTGATTTGATAGTTTCCAGTAGATCAGAACTCCAGTAAAGATAACTCAACTATTTCTGTAATGTAACTTACCCATTTTCCAGGTGTTAATAAATCATCTGACCTTTACATCATCTAAAAATACTTGGAATGTAAATTTCTTTTGACAAATTCTGGGTGAGCTTTTTGACAGTTTAGACTCCTTACAGCCAAAGCTCATGCTGTCTTTTCAATAAGACTTTTTATATGTAATTCTGGACTTACTTTTTCTGGAACAGTGCTGCTCAGACTTCTCCACAATCTTACTGTTTGTTCCAGAAATTATTCAAGTGGCCTTTACAGGAGTTCAGAAACTTCTTAAGAACCTGAAGTTCCCAAGTATTGTGAAATCTATCTTTTTTTTATTTTTCTTAATAGGATCCAGCACAGATGCCAAGCAAGCTGAGGAGCAACCTGCAGCTGCAAGTGAAGACCTTTATCCTTTCTGTAGGGAGCCAAGTTATTTTGAAATCCCTACAAAAGAATTCCAGTCACCTTCACAGGTAGCAGAGAGCACGATTCATGAAATTCCAACAAAAGACACCCAAAACTCCCATGCATCAGGTGCAGGGCACGCTTCCTTTACTATTGAATTTGATGACAACACTCCTGGAAAAGTAACAATCAAAGATCATGTGACTAAATTCACGTCAGAACATCGTCACAAGTCAAAAAAGCCTTCCTCCAGTGGGCAGGACCTGCCTGGGCTTCAAACAGTAATGATGGCTGCAGAAAGCAAAGTAGCAGATTGGCTAGCACAGAACAATCCTCCTAGAATGATATGGGAACCAACAGATGAGGATTCCAAAAGTATTAAAAGTGACGTTCCAGTGTACTTGAAGAGACTGAAAGGTAAAGTGAATAATTCCAGCTATGCTTATTTCTGACAGCAATGATTCCTCAACAGCATCCAGTGAGTGAGTGGATCCCTGAGCCCCTGAGGAGTTCGACTGAAACCACAGATACTCCACATAAATGCAAGGATCTGTGCTGGGAAATTCTACTGCAGTATTAAATCTTGAAAAGAGGATAGGAAAGGAAATCCTAAATCATCTTAAATTAGCTATACTAACTGGAGATATTCTATTATAGCTAAAAACATCAGGTGTATTTAAAACATTGGTCTTGAAAGGGAAAAGGAAGAAACCCAAACCTTACTTAAATTTTATATATTTCACTTTTTTTATGCATTACTTTAAAATTTGCTTTTTAGAATCAAAGCTGTGAAATTCAATATATGCTTTTAGCAACTCTTCCAATAGCATATGTTCTGTGAATATTCATGTGCTCTAAATATGTAATTTCTGGCAAAGAATACATCGTACAGATATTCTGCTTAAATATATCATGTATGATGGAGTCAGGTTTGAGTCGGAAATCTGAAATAGATCAAGAGCTTCAATTTTTATAAGCTTGCAGAAGATGGTATTTATAAGAGCACTGCTATTGAATGGAGTTTCAGGTGATTATGCGTGTTCATTTACTTCAGACAGTGACACTTCAAATAAAATTAAATCAAATGTTAAACATGATAAGTTTACTTTCTTTTGGATGCCATGTAGCAGAATAGAGAAGAAGGTAGTTTTGAGGTTCAGGTGAAGATGTGACATTAAAATTTTCAGGATGAAAACTTCTGAGGAACTTTTTCAAGTCTCTTATTTTCTGTATTTAATTTCAGCAGGTTAACCCTGCAATTTCCATTTACCTTGATTCTGCAACGTTGTCATTTCTAGCTTTTAAACCAGTTGTGACTGGGTGCAACATGCCTTGTCTTACTGATCCCAAGTCTGCTTTTTAAATCTGACTTTTCCAAATTAAGCTAAAAAAAAAATTTTGAAAACAGAATTGTATCAATGTGCTAGCATTATGATAATAATATATTTTCTAGAGTATATCACAGAGTATTCTTTGGTCCTCATGATCCTGTATTACATCTATGAATATTCTTTAAAATATTAGCCATGTCACTTTGATAAACAGGAGGGGCTTTGTTTACGAAGCCTTCACCTTTCCCTGGCAGAAACTTGAAATTTGATAAAATTTTATCTGAAAGAGATGTAAACTATGTGGTGCATATGGCCATAAAAAAGATCTGATTTTTTTGATTTTCTGTGATCTGTTTGTATTCTCACTCATTACTTGTACTTTTTCAAATCATAAAGGTAGAGAATATAAGTAGTCACTTTGAAAGTTTGATTAAGAAAAAAAAACAAAACAAAAAGCCCCAACCCTTTGTGATTTTTCTCCTAATCTTTTTCTTACAATATCCTGTACTGAAGTCACACAGCTAAAATTATGTCATATGACTAACTGTGGTGTTGATATTAATTGTTATTATGTGAAAGTATATGAACCATCACATCATTTTCTCAGGCACTGTAGAAGCAAGTAGAAGTCGAGAATGTAAGCAGGGATTTCAGTTGTATATTCAGTGCTGTTAGTCCAATAAGCTTCTCAGTATATGATTACTATTTAACTGTAGTTGATGTATGTAGATGTATGTAGATGATGTATGTAGATGCATATCTTAACTATGTAAGTGAGAAAACCTTAAAAAAAGGCTATCTTCTGGAGAATATAAAAAATATATCTTTTTCATTCTATGTATACATGAGCAAGACGATGCAAGAGTTCAAAGAAGGTAAAACAGTTCCTTCCCAAGAATCGACTTAAAACTTAAAAGTGTAGGCACTTCCATTGTACGTGAAGCTGCTATGTGTTAAATGTGACTATGTATGATTATCCAGCCTTCCATGCATTTTCAGGTATCATTGCAAATTATAGGCATATATATGATTTATTAAATACTTAGTCTTTATTCATAGATCTGAAAGTAATTTGTGGAATGAATAAGTAATAACCATTTTACATGCATACATCAGATGGTGAGGGGAGTGAATGATGGAAAAGCTCATTGTACTTCTTGGAAAGAGTAATAAAGAATTCATTCCAATTTTCAGTAGACATTTCTCATGATAAGTTGTTGTGAATGTGTGAGGACTCCAACAATATAAACTGTGTTTCTCAGTGGGTATTTTCAGCTGCTGGAAGGACTGTTTTAGGGTTTTCTTTTTCCTCTTAACACTGCTTAGAAGGTTTCAGTAGTCATTTATAATCAATTGGCTATGTAACAAAATTAGTATGATTTGGAAAAAATACTATGGTACAGCTGGTAAAATACTATAGTACAGCTGGTAAAATGCTGCTTTTGTAAGTCACTGATAAGGATTCACAGATGAGAATATTGGTGAAAAGGTAATTCAAATGTACTGCTGTAACTGATGAACTTATAAAGTGATTCATTGTTTGACTCATAGCAAGTTGAATGCATTAGCAGGAGTTCTACAAAATTTACAGAGCCAGGTACTGGAAGCGATTGGAGTCTAAACAGAAAACCAGTTTGAAATTGTTTTTCTCTTAGTTTACCAGTTTCTTTTTTTATGTGTTGGGTTGGGGGGTTGGTTTGTTTGTTTGATTGAGTGACTGTGTTACATATTCTTTTGCTTTGCTTATAGGGAATAAGCATGATGATGGTACACAAAGTGATTCAGAAAATGCTGGTGCACACCGGCATTACAGTAAGAGGGCAGCACTTGAAGAACACTTAAGACATCATCACACAGAGCTGAAGAAGTCACATCAGAAGGTCCATTCCTCAGAAAAGCAGCAAGAGCAAGCTGGTTTAAGCCAGACTGCTTTTATGATTGAGTTTTTTGATGAAGACCATCCTCGAAAGAGACGGTCTTACTCTTTTTCTCAGAATGTAGGAGGTCAGTGCCCAGAATCTGTATCTCCAGCGCCTCATGCGCGAGCTGAAAGAGTGAAACCTACATCAGGAGAGAAACCAGTCCCTTCATCTGTGCAAGCTAGCTCATCACATCATAGAGGAGTACATGGTGTTCATGCAAAACTTCTAAAACAAAAATCAGAAGAACCCTCATTGCCTGTCCTACAAGCTGCATTGTTAAGGAGTTCAGGAAGCCTTGGGCATAGGCCTAGTCAGAACCAGGAGATGGACAAAAAGTTGAAAAGCCAGCATATTTCTGCTGAAAAAGACAATGAGGATGACCAGAGTGACAAAGGTACTTACACTATTGAGTTGGAAAATCCCAATTCTGAAGAAATGGAAGCCCGTAAAATGATTGACAAGGTGAGAAACCTAAAATGTATACTGATGTTAAAGTGGTACATGATGTGTGGGCAACAGTCTACCACTTCAGTTCTGCTGGAAGCTGCTGCAAGAACGCAAGTTTTTAAGCCAGTCTATAATGATGAAAATTGGAATGTCATGAAAGCAGCACCAGGCATTTGGCTGAAAAATATTCCTGTTTGAAACTGCTGTTCTCTTATAGTTTGGTAGTTTTAATGTGTTTTCAAAATATTTAAGTGCTGTAAGAATACTAGAAAACAGAATTCAAATAACTGGTATTTTTATAAGAGTTGTTAGAGTTGAATTTTTTTATGTCCCTGTGGAATACTCACCTGCTCTCAAACTCCTATGGTCTCTGTAGTTTTCAGTATATAAACTGGTTCCATCCAAATCAGTATCAAGAAATAGATTGCAAATGTTTTCTATCCCTTTTTTAAAAAGTATATTCAATAACAGTAACTTCAGTTTCAGAATCATTATAAATGGTAAGTATAAGAGTACTTTCATTTTCCAGAAATGTTTGATAGTAATTTTCCTAGTTTGACTATGATTATATACTTCATTAGGCTTAGGAATCTTACAATGACCGCGTAATTTTTGTTTCTTGGTAACAATACAGATAACAATATAAATAATACTATAAATAACAATATATGTCATAGTTGCAGTTAAATCACTGCAGATAACTCTCTGGATTCAACAGGAAGATACGGGTAAGAGAACCTGTGTCTAGTTATTTGGCTTAGCTGACTCTTGAAAAGGATTTCTTCTTCTTCCGTTGTTGTTTTTTCCTTAACAGGTTTAGAATCCTGGCATTCACTTCTAGGCATTTCTTCAGGCCAATTTTACAGGAAATTAACCACTTAATTGTTATGAAGTTATCTAAAGATTGATTTTGTATTCTTTAAAACTTTTTCAGAGCTCAACAAATACATTAATACATTTAGAATGAATTCTGGATAAATGTTGAAAATAGTTTTTGAAAGACAAGCTAGCTTCACTGAATTGAGTTCACAGAAAAATCCTGACACAATGGGGCAATGGGAAATTTTACTACAGATTGTTTTATTTTATAACAGGTGTTTGTGGAACATTTGTGGAGGAGGGGGATTAAATAAAGAGAATTGTCTTCAATAAAATTATGAAGACTGTGGTTTAACCTCTCATGGGTTCTGTAAAGGACACTTTTGACTTCTTTGAGTCAATATTCAAAGAGTTTCTTAGAACTATTATTAAGTATTCCAGATGAAGCAAGTGAATATTAAAGAACATAATTGCTTTGACTTAGTGACTAAAATATTTACATTTGATTCTTAATTTATAAATTTTCAATTACATTGCATCAGAAAATGTGTAAGTCCTGTTTTTGGTAAGTATGGTTGTGCAACAGGATTTATTTGGAAACCAGGAAAAATAATAACATTTGGAAATAAACATTTTATATACTTTATAAGAATGTTAATACCGTTTAATGTTTAATAAGATTTCAAATTACTTGAAGTCTTTAATGTCTGGTCAGAACATCCACAGTCTGGTTTTTGTTGGAAACAAGTCTGTTCTGTTACAGGAGAGATTCAGGAACAGGAGGTGAATGTAGACATTAGGAATGGTAGTAAAGTATTTGTTAATATTCTTAGTGTTGTATTATATCATAAATACCCCTTACTGCTAACCTAAAAAAGTGCCACCATTAGAAATTAAATATTTACTAGGAAGTAAACCAGAGCTGGTTTTTATTTGAGATCTTCTGTATCTTTTCACTTAGTATCTGTACTGAAGTGTTAATGAACAGTATATTTTTACACCCAGTTCAAAGAGTCCTGCTGCACAATTCATATTTGCTTTGGTAGTATGAAAGAAGTACGACATTTTTATGAAGTCATTTTTAGGAAGTCAAGGAAGAGGGCCAGGAGACCTGTGTGGCTCAATAGGGAATTGCTGGGTATGCTGAAGTGGAAGAGGAGAGTTTACAGGTGATGGAAGGAGGGGCTGGCCACTTGGGAGGAATATAAGGCTGCTGCTAGGGGATGTAGGAAAGCAGCTAGGATGACTAAGGCCTCCTTGGAATTAAATCTGGCGAGAAGGGTCAAGGACAGCAGAAAGAGCTTTTTCAAAAAACTAACACCAGGGGCAATGTAGGCCCACTGGTGAACGGGATGGGTGCCCTGGTGACAGAAGATACAGAGATGGCAGAGTTACTGAATGCCTTCTTTGTCTCTGTCTATTCTGACGGAGGCAGTCCTGAAGAGCCCTGTACCGGTGAGACCTCAGATGAGGACAGGTCAACGGAGCGGTCTGCCTTAGTCGATGAGGAATGGGTTAGAGACCAGTTGAGCAATCTGGACATCCATAAATCCATGGGTCCAGATGGGATGCACCCACGGGTGCTGAGGGAACTGGCAGAGGTCATTGCTAGACCACTCTCCATCATCTTTACCAAGTCTTGGGAAACGGGAGAGGTGCCTGAGGACTGGAGGAAAGCAAATGTCACTCCCGTCTTCAAAAAGGGCAAGAAGGAGGACCTGGGTAACTATAGACCAGTCAGCCTCACCTCCATCCCTGGGGAAGTGATGGAACACCTTATCCTTGGTGCCATCTTAAGGCATATCAAGGATAAGAGGGTTATGAGGGGCAGTCAACATGGCTTCACCAAGGGGAAGTCATGCTTGACCAATCTCATAGCCTTTTATGAGGAAATAACACGGTGGATGGATGATGGCAGAGTGGTGGATGTGGTCTACCTTGACTTCAGCAAAGCGTTTGACACAGTCTCCCACAGCATCCTCGCAGCTAAATTGAGGAAGTGTGGTCTGGATGATCGGGTAGTGAGGTGGACTGTGAACTGGCTGAAGGAGAGAAGCCAGAGAGTTGTAGTCTATGGGGTGGAGTCTAGTTGGAGGCCTGTATCTAGTGGAGTGCCTCAAGGGTCGGTACTGGGACAAGTATTATTTAATACATTCATCAATGATTTAGATGAGGGAATTGAGTGTACTGTCAGCAAGTTTGCTGATGACACTAAGCTGGGAGGGGTGGCCGACACGCCAGAAGGCTGTGCTGCCATCCAGAGAGACCTGGACAGGCTGGAGAGTTGGGAGGGGAATAACTTGATGAAATATAACAAGGGAAAGTGTAGAGTCCTGCATCTGGGCAGGAACAACCCCAGGTTCCAGTATAGGTTGGGGGACGACCTGTTAGAGAGCAGTGTAGGGGAGAGGGACCTGGGAGTCCTAGTGGACGACAGGATGACCATGAGCCAACACTGTGCCCTTGTGGCCAAGAAGGCCAATGGCATCCTGGGGTGTATTAGAAGGGGGGTGGTTAGTAGGTCGAGAGAGGTCCTCCTTCCCCTCTACTCTGCCCTGGTGAGTCCTCATCTGGAATATTGTGTCCAGTTCTGGGCCCCTCAGTTCAAGAAGGACAGGGACCTGCTGGAGAGAGTCCAGTGCTGGGCAACTAAGATGATTAAGGGAGTGGAGCATCTCCCTTATGAGGAAAGACTGAGGGAGCTGGGTCTCTATAGTTTGGAGAAGAGGAGATTGAGGGGTGACCTTATTAGTGTATATAAATATATAAAGGGGGAGTGTCACGAGGATGGAGCCAGGCTCTTCTCAGTGGCAAACAATGATAGGACAAGGGGCAATGGGTACAAACTGGAACACAAGAGGTTCCACTTAAACTTGAGAAGAAACTTCTTCTCAGTGAGGGTGACAGAACACTGGAACAGGCTGCCCAGGGAGGTTGTGGAGTCTCCTTCTCTGGAGACATTCAAAACGCGCCTGGACACGTTCCTGTGTAACCTTATCTAGGTGTTCCTGCTCCGACAGGGGGATTGGACTAGATGATCTTTTGAGGTCCCTTCCAATCTTTAGCATACTGTGATACTGTGAAGTGCAGAAAAACAGCCAGTGAAGAAAATCAAAACAAAGTGGAAGCCAAAATTTCTTCCTCCAGCTGAGTTCAGTTTTGCTTCAATCCTGTTTTAAATTTATAATGCTGTGGATTCTGTTACTTTGCTAAAGGTAGATAAGTGAGGAATTAAGACAAGGACTTCTGTTAGCCTGTTGACTGCTTTGTTGAGGATTTAAGAGAATTACTGGTATATATTGTATCAATAATTCCAGTATAACATCTCTTTTTTTTTTTTTTTTTGTCAAGTCACTCCTTTTTCTGAGCAGTTATAATGCCTGCTCAATTGAGTCTCATTTAAGACAGTCTATTGGGTCATAAGTTTAACTGAAATTCAAGTATTGCATTTGTTAGGATTGGGGTGAAAATGACCTACAAATACCAAGGATAACTGAAGCATTTGCACAAATAAAGCAGACTTGTCAGTAACAGTTTACACTAGGGGGGTGCTAAGATCCATGAGTGGTTTACCTGAAGAATTTTCTATAAAAAAAAATACTTATGGGTTTGAGGGTTTTTTCTCTTTTACTGGAGGAAAGGTGAGAATGACCAGAATATCTGAAGATTACTTTCAGTGTGACTCATTCACTTGGGAGCCTCAGCATTAGCCTTCTTCCTATAGGGAGAGTCTACTCTTTTCTCTAGAAAGGAACGTCAGAACGAACCACAAACGCAAGAGTGGCGTTAACTTGTCAAAAATCAAGGCGTGGTTAATACTGCTTCTTTGAGGTAAGAATCCGAGAAAGAGAGGCAGGGAAAAAAACCCTAAAATTCTCAAAAAAAGAAAAAAAGGAAAACCCACCTATCTATAGAATTTTAAAAAGGGAAGGAAAGAGGTTAATGTTGAGCTATATTATACCCTTCTAATGTAGCCTTATTGCTTAATGTAGCCTTTTGTTAAACGTTCTAGACTCAAGGAAAATAGATACTTATGTGAAAAGATTTTAAAAATCCAGAAAGCATGCTTTCCTGCTTATACAACATCCTGATTTCATTTAAATTGCTAAGGATCGATTTCTTCCTCTGCTACTCTTTCAGCGTCTTAAAAAAAAAAAGGTATTGCCTCTGCAGCAGCAAAGGAGTAGACTAACAAA